GGTGAATTTGCAAGTGCAAATTTAAACAACAAATGAACCCAAAATCTAAGTAGGTCAGCGTAATTACAAGCCAACAGTTTGGAATTCATTAGTGTTTTCTGCCTGGGACTTACTCTAAATAAAATCTATTTTAACAGAATAAAGAGTATTTCTCTAACTAACTCTCTAGTTACAAAATTAGTGCAGTTCAATATATATCTTATAGAACAAATAGAGTTCTTAGCCATTCCAGTGAAAAAGATGCTGACCCTGGATCTCTTTTCCATTTGAACCACAGAAATGGAAAGAAGGGATGTCTTTAGTTCCCACTGGATCTCTGCAGTCTCAGATTCTTAGGGATACATCCGGGCAGGAAAACCAGAAGTCTCTGCCCTTCTGTGCAACAGAATACTATCAGTGGGACCCCAGTGAATCATTCCAATCACAAATCATTCCAGAATAAAACACCTTCCATTTAAGCAGTTTTTATTTTAAATTCATGGGTTTAAATTTCCTTCCTTCTCTTTCTAAGAGCAGACTCTATTTTAAATAGCTGTTATCTCTTTTTTCAAACAAGATAAACTAAAATCCAAACAAACCCCCATTATATAGAATTTTCAAAGTAAGATAAGATAAAGCAAACAACTGAATGGGTGCCAGGCTGACCAGAATGTGCCTAATCTGTTGGAAAAAAAAAAAGTGTGACCATGAGTAAGAAGCTAGAAGAACATAGTGCTGCACCAGTAAGAGCAGTCAGGTGGAAGGCAGAAGCATCACTGCAGAACTGTACAGCAAGGATCCCAGCACTTACACCAGGTTTACAGGAACTACTGACAAGTTCCAGATTTGTTGGCATATTTATTGCTTTATTCATATTCGTACTGAAGTCAATGAGAATAGTTATCTCTGAGTTGCTTCTGCCACTCTTACATGATAAAGTTGGAACAGGTTGCAGTTTTATACTGTTAATACCTAAGGCAGGAGTGCTGCTGGGAGAAAGAAAAATTGAAGGTTTTGACAAAATACATAATAAGTAGCTCTTTTTAGGCAATAAAAGAAAGTGGCGTCTGGTTTTGGAGGAAGTAAGTTAATTGGGTGCTTATGTTATCAACAATGAAACAGTTGGTCTTTGGTTTGGTATCTTTAGGGTTCAGACCTAACAACTTACTATAGTGATCATGAAAGATGCCCCCTCTGGTAATTGTCACCTGAAAAAGACATCTTTGAGCACAGTTCTGCAATACAATTAGTTCCACTGCCACAGATCTATTATCAGTGGCTACCTACATTAAGAAAGAGTCTTGAAATCTTTTCATTCTCATGTAGAGAAAACAGAAGAAGGATCAAGCTGTTGCTGCAAAAAAAGTGGCATGCTAAAACATCTGCTATATGTACTGAGCAACACTCCAAATTGTCTCACAGGTCTAACATATGAGCCTTGTCTTGCAGTACACTCGCTCAGGAATTAAGATCATGAAATAGTAATGGCAAATAAATCATGTTATCCTTCAGTTATAAACAAAAGAAATGTGTTTTGATGTTTTGATTTGTTTTGTTTAGTTTTGTTTTGTTTTTAAAGCATGCTTTTCCTGACTGTATTCCTCCAGAGTAAACTTATTTCTGACCTTTAATCTGATAGGCAACATCAATGAGTATGCTCCCTTATTTCAAATAATTTTACAGTAGTCAGAAAAGAGTTGCTACAGTTCAAAGTAACTTCAATATTTAAACTGAATTTTAACTTCAATATTTAAATATTAAGCAAGATAGGAGGCAAACTAGTATCAATGCTACAATGATAGATATGTCAATTGTACAATGACAGATGAAGTTAATGACTGTACTACAACATGGATTTGGAAGTATCAAGAGGTCTTTCTCACTGCCAGGCTGAACTACAGCAGCATGACAGTGAATCTCTTACTTTAAAAGTGATAGCACTAACAGAATTTTAGTGAATTTTCCTGGATCCAGAAAGGATAAATGCATATCCCCTGGTACTATAACTTGTCAACATAATGCAAATCTTTTTCTTATTAGCAAGGTATTGAATGGAATTACCTACAACCTTCCCACCTTCTGTTCCAAGGAGAGAATACCTCTCTTACAACTGGCATTCAGGTTTATTTTAAAGACAGCATTGCTGAAATATTTGCCCCTTATGAGATAAATCTGTCTCTCAATGAAAAAGCTTGTCACATTGTCTTTCTGTACATGATTTTTATCTATTATATGTGTCCAGGCCTTCAAATTCCTTATAAAATTTTACTACAACTAAACAAGCATACACTAAACTGATGACAATTGAAACAAATTGCACATATGACATGTTAATTAAATGACCCAGGCAAAAAGCCTTGCTAACAGGCTTTTTGCCAAGGACCTCACAAAAACTTTATCCACTCTTTTTCCTTGAGACTCAGGTCTCATAATCAAGTCTTTTTTCCAGTCTCACATGACAAAATAAAATGAACTAGACTAGACAAGACTGAGGCATAAGGTACAATGTTACCCTAATACATTTGCCATAGCTAGAGGGCACAGACAAGGCAACATTTTGTTGGTCGTTCTTTCTCACAAGATTATAAGAAATAAAACCCTCACTTCACAACCTCTGAGAGCTTGCTTGTTCAGATTCTCTCTCCATACAGGTTCCACATGGATAGATCCCCGAAGAGCAGTAGAGTGTTTTGAATTACTGAAAACACAACAAATGGAAATATTTTGAATAAAAATATTACGCCGATTTGAGAAAATATTTGTCTGAACACTAAAAATACTTGGTAAGTAAGGAATTGGATAACACCTACCTATCTGAAGGCAGAGACACCATTTAATCTATTAGCTAAGGACTGTTCTGCCTGACAGCAACTTCAAATGAGCTTTGCGACGAAGAAACATAATACTTTTGTAAGAATTAATACTTAGCAGAACAGTAGCTCAATTTTCTTTCTTGCACTCATTGGCTTTTGAGATTATCTATGTGGAGATCTCATCATCTCTGGATGAACAGCTTATTTCTAGAACATAAAGTTATGAGGCATAGATTATAACATTAAAAATAAATGTACCTTTTAAAATGCAATAACAAATAAGATAGGCATCACACTATAAATATTCAAAAATTATCTTTATAGTGTCAGATTTGTCTTTGTTAGTGAATATATCTATTATGTTTTTAGGCAGTTTCCTTCCAGCTATTTATTCATACGGTATTATTAATTTTTATTATTATGGCCTTGTTTGTAAAAATAAAGGAGAGATACACTTATTTTTAAAAACATATCAAGGAACATCTACTTAAATAAACTCATGTACAATTCTATTAAGATAAATATTTGTCTTTCAAGACAATTGAATATTTTTCAAGGGGAATTTATTTTCTGTGGGAATTAAAGCACGCTCTTGAGAAAACTCAACTTTTTATGGAGAAAAACACAACAGCAGTATTTGGTCAGGCTGCCAAAACTATGCTATATTTAGCATGGAGTGAGAGGAACAAATCCAGCATCCAGCACACACACAGTTTCCTTACATTTATTCCCCATTTCTACTTAACAAAGATCAGGTTATACATCAATATTTACAGAGCAACTCCTCTCAAAAGAGTTGCCTGAGTGAAAAAATCAAGTACATCACTTCGTACACATGATTTGGCTGATTTGATTTTTAAAATCTGTTTTTTTTTAAAAAGCAGAGCCTCACTTGTGGAGCTCACACAACATATGCACACCCTTGGGGGCCAGAATAATATCAATTTGTGTGATGAGCCAGGTTTTTGGAAATTAAGTAGTATTTCTCTTGCTCATTGAAGCAGGCTTCTGCAAATTTATATCCTGTCATGAAAACAAATTATTTTGTGTGGATTCATGCACTACAATCTAGATGCAGGTTTACTAGTTAAGTAAATAACCTGGTGGAACTGGAGAGGACTATTTTTTCTCCCAATTCCTCATTTTCCAGATGTCTCCCAGGAAAGATCAGTAAGGAAGACCACAAAAGACATATACTGAATTCACAAGTACCCGTCTTGTAAGGGTAATAACATGGCTGAAATGATGGCATTATATGTAGCATTCGCTGTGCCTTGTGAAAACTAAAGATCACACTACTTAAAGACATCAGTATTTTGATAAATCCAACAGTGTTAACACAGGCTCTGACAGTCAGGCTGAGTGCTTCTCAACACGGGTTTTTCATCCACATCTAGACCTTCACTGACACCACTATAGCCCTGCTCTCTTCCAATGATTTCTCTCTAGCCCTATGCTGTATCATCAATGTTTCTAGAATCTCATAGAGAAATGTTAAGCATTTTCAGTTTTGCAGATCATTAACGATCTTCCAGTTAAGGTGTAGCTTCTAGAGGGGTTTTTTATCTAATGTAAAGACTCTACATTTTCTTAAACTGTGGACACCCTGGGTGTCAAGACTAATGGAGCTTGTTTAGGCAGCTTCCCATCTTTGACTGTATATTCTTGCCCCTCCACTGCAGCCCCACATTTTGCCACTTCCAATACTTCCACAAGTGAAACAGATACACAGAAGTGGAGCTGAGTGAAAAACAGGGGAGAGGGGAGAAACCAGGAAAGGTTATTTTCCAGCAGGATCAATTTCACAGTTTGTCTTCCAGCTGCACAACCAACTGCATTCCCTGCAGTCCTAACAAACAGTGGTATCAGCAATACCAAGAAATTATAGTCAGTCTATGATTCAAGAGTGATGCATTATGAGATACAATCTAAGACACCAAATTTATTTCAGCAAATGGATTTATTGACATAATTGATTATAACCATGTACAGCATCTATGCATCTCCCATTGGAAGAATATCCAGTGATAAGAGTTAACGTTAGTGTGATACACAGTTTTACTCAGTAATCCCCACTGCATTTCTAACGATGAACAGTGGTGTGTTCCACAGTCAGTTATTAAATAGCCAAAGGCACCCAGAGGTCCAGAAGAATAGAAATGTAAGATTCTTAACAAAAAGTAAAACCTGATCCTGGATTCCTTCAGTTTATTTCTATTCAACACTGTATCTGTAAGAGCTATGAATTTTAACCTATACACTGACAATGGAGCTGTCTGTCAAAATGAAATCCCAAAGGACTTTTTCTACGGACTCAAGAAAAATACCTCTTTTTTTTCCTTCATTTAAAAGGCACAGATTAAGGCAAATGATCCCTACACTTTCTCCTTTCCTCCCATTTTAATTTAAATGTTGAACAAATTTGCCTCAGAACATGAAGTCTTGTTCTCTCCATTCAGTCACTGAACTCCAACTGATGATACCAGTTACTATGGGTCTTTTGTAAACACTTGTTCATCTGAATAAAAAAGAAAAGAAAAAAACCAACAAATTGCCTTCTTGCAATTATAGTAACAAAACACTTGTAGTCATGAACACCTCAGATCAGCAATGAATGCAGGATATTGAGATGAATAGCTCCATAGTCCATTAACACTTCTGTCAAGCCATTCAGCTCCACAAGAGTTCATCTGAGGTCGCACATTAAATTCAAAGGAGCAGAAGTAGTATCAGTGGTCTCAACAATTTACCAATGTCCATGTAAAACATTTGCATTGAAAGTGTAACCAGTTTGGACCTTTTTAATTAGCTCACTTTTAGACCACACAGAGGGAATTATTAATGTAAACTAAACCAGCGTATTTCATAGTAACAGAACCACGTTTTGTAAATATTTAGGAAAGCAAAAGTCCAAGAAAGTAGAGAGCAACTGATCGTAATATTATTAGCATTGCTCTAAACCCAAAAGCAAAACTCAAATTAAAACCAAAACAAAACAAGCCAACTCAAACATCATATCCTACTGCATAAGGGTTTAACATTACTCACTCAGCTACACAAAACACAGAACCTAGATTAATATACAAAAACGTTTTATTTCACAGTGAGGTACATAAAGTTTCTACCTTTAGTAGGCTAAGGCTAAGAGAGAATTGCCTGTTAGGGTAAAGACCGTTTCACATTCCTGAAATATTCTCACCTATTATTATTTCTGATGAAAGGCACCAATATTATTTATTCATCAACAGTTCAGCTCTGCATCCACCCACCTGGAAATGAGGATGGATGTTGTGAGGGTCAGTGACCTACTGGCCATCACGGACCCAGACAATTACAGCACACATTCGTGTGTACAAGTACCAAGCCGTATTTATTTAAAAAAAACAAACAATTTAAAAATAGGTCATTTGTAAACATATTACAAAACTCCGTTAGTTTTTCCTAAGGTGTCAGCAATACCTTCCTGTAAAACTCACCAGCTGCATCGTTGCCTCCTGTTTACAGAGAAGGACGAGAACGCACCCGCGCACATTAAATCGCCCCACGTGCTGAGTCAGAACGACCTGCAGACTGTCCAGCACACCACGCACACTTGCAGCCCTCCAGACGACTTGCTGGTTGCACACACCTGAACACTAATGTTAAGAAACTGCCCTCTGTCCAAGGCTTTTATTAGGAAGGGCTGGTGCCTTGGAAACGCCCGTTCAAAGCATCTCCGTGCGCGGCTGCCACCGCCCTCACCGACCTTCCCAACTGCAGTCAAACAAGAAAAAGCACCTGTAAAATACCAGACTGAAATGTACGTGTCTCTTGAGCCCACGAACGGGAGGCACCAGGGGCTGTTCGTCGCCGCTTCCCGCCGTTTTGCTCCTCGCGGAGCGGCTACGGCCTGTCAGTGCTTCTGCCCGCGGGATGGTTTCTGAGCAA